TAACAAGAACTGTGAGGCTTCCTCAGTGCCTTGTGTAATTACATTATTACTTTCTGATCTACTGGAAATATCTTGTCTGATGCATCCTGGGATCACATTTGTTTTTCTCATGGCTGCATTACATTGGTGGCTCAGAGTCATCTTGTTGTCAGCTACTATACCAGATGTTTCTATGCAAATCATTTCCCACTAATTGGCTCCCATTTTGTAATAGATTATAATTAGTCCCCCCAATTCTGGACTGCTGTTTATACTACTGAATTTCATACCATTTCTCTTATTCCAGTCCTCAAAGACATCCAGTTCTTCCTGTATAATATTTTAATCCTCCTTTGTATTTACAGTGCTTCTAGAGTTTGTCATCAATGTGTTTTGGTAGCAAAAAATGAATATGTGAAAATATTTTCTAAAAATTGCGCTCAAGGCTGAACTCCTGTGACTTTCTTACATCCTAATGGTTCCCTGTTCAACCCTACCTGTTGTCATTTCCTCTTAAATTGGTTATCTACTTTTACATTACGCCCTTTCTTCCCTCTCTTAACTAAAACATTTCTGTGTAATACAGTTAAATGCTTTACAAAAGTGCAGATCAGATCTGTTCCATTTCCCTCCTCTAGAAATTGTTATCCGAGAAACGTATCTGGTTAATCCAGCATGATCTACATTTCATACGACCATGTTGCATTTTATTCCATTTTACATTTATCCTATGGCTCCAGTTTGTCTTTCCTTCAAAAACATGTCCTGATATATTACTCATTACTACAATCAGACTAAGAAGCCTTTAGTTGTCAAGAGCAGGGTAGTCTTTCCCCTCGTTTTCTTTACTGTTTTTTCTACTCTACGATCTAGTGGTAACAACTGCAATGTAAAACACTTATTAAAACCCTTACTGTTTTTGTTTTTTAATTCTGTTTGCAGAATGTAACTCAACCTCACTTTTGGTGGCTCTCACTTTATCCCTGTACTTTCAAGTTTCAAGATGTTGCATTCTTTCACTAGAAATTCTTAGCCCACCTCTTCCCACTCAGGCTCCTGAGTTCTTCTTTCCAGTTAACTTCATTTGCTCTTTAGAAAATTGAGTTACCAGCTTGCTCTATTCTATCTTTCCATTTAAATGCTTGTGTAAGAACAGGACCAGGTTTGAAGAGGTTGAAAGTAGTTTTTAATTTTGATTTAAGTTCATAAGTGTTTAACTAGGTGTTGGAATGGATTAAAGTTGGAACATTTTGGGGATCTATGTCTACAGAAAGTCAGACAATCCTGGTTTTCCTTTATAAAATGTTGACTTCCTTATTTAAAAAAAAATCTTTTGAGCAAAACCAGATGACATTCTGAAATGTTCTAAACAAAGGGCTGATTTTTCCATCAGAATAGCTTTCAAAGAACAATTTTTATCCATCCCTAGGTCTGCTGCTGATAGATTGTTAATATTTATCCTCAGGGAGTAGAAGTTGCCAACATTTCTAAATGATTAAGGGGTACCTGCGGGTGGCTTAAATCTACTGTTACACTCCGAGCAAGTTGCAGGTGAATGATAAGCACTTGTTACCATGCAGCTTTAAAAGCAATGCGAAAAAAGCATGTTGGTGGAGGAGTGAGTATGAGTGGTATCTATACAAATTGCATTGCTGGGAGAAAGTACTTTGCCATTTGTGGTAAGAGTAGGGCCAGCAATTCTTAACCAGATTCCAACTCTAAATAAATTCTTCAGTAAGTACACCCACAGAGAGGGGATGCATAAACCCAAACCAGGCTTCTGTTTCCTTGAGACTGAGGTTGAAGTAGCTCAGGCCTTGGCAGGCTTAGTAGAATCCTATGAGTATTGTGGTAGGTCAAAGAACCCAATTGCACATCCTCCACAGGTATTAAGGATATAGCTCCCTGCACAAGATGGGAAAAAGCCTCTTTGAAATACAAAGTCAAATGCACCTTTCTTTGGCATGCCAATGTTTCTGTAACTAAGTGTTTCGTGTGTGTATGTTCAAATGTGACAGTCGCTCTTTTAAGTTGCTGACAGACATTGAGTTAAAGGCATGATGGGATATGATCTGTGATCCCAACAATTGCACCTCCTATTACGCTACCCGTGCATAGCAGGACATGTGGGTTTTTTTGGGACTGGGGATCAGACCCCAATTGTGCCCTACTTGCCAGTACAGTGAGAACCTGGAATCATGAGCCTGAGCTCCCTCTTCACCAGCAAAGGTGCACAACAACTAGCTATTTGTCAGGTGGCTTCAGGAACCCTCTGGTTGCTTCCAGCCCCTGGAGCTGGCTGCCAATAAGCTGATCATGGGCCCTAATGCAGTTTCACCTTGAATGGGCTGCAGTCCCTGCCAACCACTGATCAACAGATTGGGTGCAGCCTGGAGACCACACCAGGGCTTAAGTGGGCTGGCAGAGACTGCACTGGGGCCTATTTGAGCCCCAGTGCAGTCCACCCAGACATACATTCATTTTAAGGGTACAGCTGAAACTGGCCACAGAATTTTGACTTTTTTGTGTAGTTTTGTGGCTGGCTTAATTTTTGTTGCACCATTAATTGCCTGAATGTGTGGTTAGGTTACACTTTAAGACACAATTAGCTGTTTAATCATGTTCTAAGTATGTCTGTCAGGGGCCTTAGTCTTTACTACTTCTGAGTAAAACTCCATGGAGTTTTAACTTTGTTTCTTGACTTGAGATTATTTAAATTCTCTGTCTTATTGCTAGAAAAAAGTGCTTTCTGCATGTAACACGCAGTATAAATGTGGTGTCATTCTTTTGCCTGCTTTGTAACAAAGTGCTTTCTTTGCTTTGAGGAGTTTACGGTCCAGCGTGCCCAGTCCTCTTCTTTGAAGTACAATGGAAGTTTTGCCATATATTTCAATGGGAACAGACCTACGGGTTAGGCATTAGGACCTTACAGGAACCTATAGCTGTGTAGCAACCTTGCCAGCAGCTGCTTGAGTTGTGCCTCTGGGAGAACCCAGCTGTTTCAGGAAAGTCGCTTTTAATTTGGAACTTAAAAACTTCCAACGTAAGAGATTTATTAAATGGAACAGATGTCCTGATACTCCCGACCCGCAACAGAGTCCAAGTTGCTCCGGCCACTGCTGGGAAAGCTACCAGACTCCTTTTTGAACTGATAAAGGGCTGAAATGTTAAACCACGTTACTATTCTGAATTAAAACAACTTCCTGACACTTTCAAATGGCTCTTCTTGGTATTCATTAGTTCATCTGTGTTGTCAGTAGTATGGAAGCCTGATAATGTCTCTTTCAGATGTGCAACTCCCAGTGGCTGTTGCCTATAGATATAGATCATATGTTTTGTGCATACTGGTGGAAGGATGGCAGGTCAAAATGAGTGGCCTGTCATGTTGGGAGAGGAATGAGTGGCTGGCTCAGTGCTTGCAAGGGGAGGTGGCACTGGTATTACGTGCAGTCCAATGGGGACAGTAGTAATTCAGCTTCATTCTGCACATGCAGAAATTAAATTGTGCAGTAGACTCCAGAATGTCCTAGCTGTGCTTGTTGAATACTTAGCTTGTTCAGCACTACAATGCTTCGTACACTGGGAACTACCATTTTTGGCATTCAGTAGCTGCTGCATTTTTAGTCTTTCTGACATTTGGAGTTGCTATAAAACAAAGTCCCAGAATAGGATTGCCAAGTTTTAGAATGTATGCTGCTTGTTTTGCAAAACTAATCGTTGTGAACATTCACAATGTATCATTTCATGCAAATTTAAATATTTTTGGAAACCATTAGTGTCTGCAGGGAAAAGTTAGGCAAGCTGTGAAAATAAGCAAATAGAGCAGAAGAAAAAAACTCAGATCATGGAGAGGGCTTCTGCAACAGATTTTAAAATACCCGGATAGGCAAAAGACAGACAGAAGAGAACATTCTATCATTTTTAAAGTAAGTGCACAGTATATAGGGAAAGTATATAGTAGTGTATACTATACTTACCAAATAGCATTGTTGAAAAGTTACTCTGTACTACTGTATGTTTTATCCCACTCCCTATGTATGCAGCTTCTGCTTTTTTGTTTTAGGGACAGCATCTTCCTGTGGGTAGACAATACTTGGTATATTGTGGGTGCTACAAAAATGCTGACCATAGGTGTGGAATTGGATGGCAACTTACACAAATGGGAGAATAAACTTTCATGGCTGAAAACTGATGCAGCTTACAAAATTCAGAAGCAGGGCTGTATGTTAGAGAGAAGCATATTAGCATACCCTGATATCAGCACTGTTTGGAGTGAGGTGTAGAGCTTGGAGATGCAGACAAAGGGGAACCAGGACTCTCCTAGGAGCCAACCAGGAGGTAGCTACTCTGAGAGAAGTATGTCTGAACTGTGCTATGTCCGAGTCGTAATAACTGTGGCCACATATAGACATTTAGTTTCTCCTGGGGACAGCCGTTGCTCTCAGGAGATGCCACAAGTATGCAGATGTTCAGGATTTTTCTTCCAAAGCAAAAATGACCCCTCTGGGAGAAAAATAACCTGGGAACAACAGGGGTCTAATTGCTCCTGGGAGAGTTTCTCCAGAGAGATCAACTGTCTGTACAAGTTCTGTGGCTGCTCCCTTTGTGGCTTTGCAAATCAAGGTGGATAGTAAGCTAATAAAGTATCATTGCTGGGTTTGAAAAGTTGTGAACACTTTTTTCAAGGTGGAAACTGATCAAAAGAGGTATCATGCAACCAGACAGAAAAAAGGATTTAATTCAGGTGTGTGAGAAAACAATGAGGTAAACCAAGTAAGGCGGTTAGTCTTGACCTTTGGGACAGTTCATGTTTTCAAGTTGGTTCAAATCTGTCGTGTTTTGTTACACAACATTACAGAAAACTGTCAGAAAAACTAGGTAATGAATACATTGTTTATCCTTTTTGAGTATGCCAAGCAGCAGCCTTGCATTTATGAATATAAAACATCTTTGTATTTGATTTTAGTTTTTTCAAAATACGGGAGTTGCCACTCAGGCTCTAATTTGTTCTGTATTTGCAGCTACTTTCCCTCCTATTTGAAGATTTGTTCAAAAAATTTAATTCTGAACTGAAAAAAATTGCTGACCAGGTGATACCCAAGCAGAGAGCAGCCCAGTTTGATGTAGTGAAGCATATGCGTCAAGATCAGATCACCAATGGCATGGTAAATGCCATCTCCTCGGTAAGTGTTTTGGGTTTTTTTGTTTATTGCTATCTGGAAGGTTTCTCTTTATCCTGAGTAGTTGGATGGTAGAAAATAATTAGTTTTGTTCTGCAGGCTTCTATTTTCTTAGTCATGGAAACAAAACTATTAATATCTTTTATCAATCGGATGTGTAAAACCTTCTTCTAGGTTAAAACTGTAAGAATTCAGTAGGAGGTAATTAATGATCTGCATGCTATGCATACAGTGCTGTGTTCTTTGCAGTTTTCACCCAACTTAGAGACCCTAACGAAACAACAGTAAAACTAACTAATTTTAAGTATGAATCATTTTTATATTTATCCAGTTGTCTTCCAAAACTTGTTTATATCAATGGTTCATGGTATATGCCTGGCAGCTGGATTTTTAGAAGGTGTCAAGCTACAATATCTGTTGGAGAATTGGTTGAGAATACTCACAAACTTCAATTAGGGGGTCATCATTGACCACAAGATGAACATGAACCTGCAATGCAATGCTGTGGCTAGTAAAGCTACCAAAACGCCGGCTTGCATGCATAGATGCTTCTCAAGTAAATCCCAGGACATCATTCTCCCCTTGTACTTGGCCTTGGTGAGGCTGCAGCTGGAGTATTGTGTCCAGTTTTGGGCTCCACAATTCAAAAAGGATGTGGAGAAGCTTGAGAGAGTCCAGAGAAGAGCCATGATCAGAGGTCAGGAAAACAGACCTTACGACGACAGGCTAAGAGCTACGGGACTCTTCAGCCTGGAAAAGCGCGGGCTCAGGGGTGATCTGATGGCCACCTATAAGTTTATCAGGGGTGACCATCAGTATCTGGGGGAACGTTTGTTCACTAGAGTGCCCGAAGGGATGATGAGGTCGAACGGTCATAAACTACTGCAAGACCATTTCAGGCTGGACATAAGGAAGAATTTCTTTAGAGGCAGGTCCTGTCAGACCAACCTGGTGGCCTTCTATGACCAGGTCACAAAATCCTTAGACGCGGGGGTAGCAGTGGACGTAGTATTTCTGGAGTTTAGGAAAGCCTTCGACACTGTCTCTCACCCCATTCTCATTAAAAAACTTAGGGGACTGTGGTGTCAACACCTACACAGTCAAATGGGTCACTAACAGGCTGGAGGGCCGCACCCAGAGAG